GTATTTCACTAATTATTTCATTTAAATTGTAAATAATTCTTATCAGATTGTGCAATTTTGCAATTTGTAAATTTTTATTTTGTATTAATTATCTAGATTTTAAAGACTTCTTGGTTTCTTATCAGAATTTTCATAATCTTATTTAAATCTCATATAGTTATCAGAAAGTAGTATTATAGAAAATTAAACTGAAACTCTAATTATATTTATTTTGGATTTTTTGAGTAAAATTTATCAATTATAAATAATTTTTAATATTCTATAAAAAAATTGATTTGAAGTCTTGATTCCAAAAGATTTCATATCAGTATTTCACTAATTATTTCATTTAAATTGTAAGTATTTCTTATCAGATTGCTGATAAGATTTTTATTTTATACTAATTATCTAGATTTTAAAGTCTTCTTGGTTTCTTATCAGAATTTTCTAAATCTTATTTAAATCTCATATAGTTATCAGAAAGTAGTATTATAGAAAATTAAACTAGAATTCTCATTTGATTTTCATTATATTCATCTTGGATTTGTTGAGTAAAATTTTACATCTTTAATTACAGATTTTACATCTGTTAATTTTTCAATAAAAGGAATTGATTTTTATAAACATCTTCTTGCTTTTTAGCATCGTATAAATTTCTGTGTAATTTTTTGAAAATTCTAACGTAAGATTTTTAATCTTAATTCCATTGATTTCACTAATTATTTATATTGTATTTCAATTGTAAGCATTTCTTATCAGATTGCTATTTCGTAAATAGAAATTTTTTATTTTGTACTAATTTAATTTATCTAGATTTTAATTTTATTTAATTTATCTAGATTTCAAAGACTTCTTAGTTTCTTATCAGAATTTTTATAATCTTATATAAATCTCATATAGTTCTTATCAGAAATTAGTATTATAGGAAATTAAACTAGAATTCTCATTTGATTTTCATTATATTCATCTTGGATTTATGGAGTAAAATTTTATATTTGTTAATTTTTTTAATAAAAAGAATTGATTTTTATAAACAACTTCTTGCTTTTTAGCTTTGTATAACATTCTATGTAATTTTTTGTAAATTCTAACTTGAGATTTGAAATCTTAATTCCAAAGATTTCTTATCAGTATATCACTAATTATTTTATTTAAATTGTAAGTATTTCTTATCAGATTGCTGATAAGATTTTTATTTTATACTAAATATCTAGATTTTGAACACTTTTTGGTTTCTTATCAGAATTTTCATAATCTTATTTAAATCTTATGTAGTTCTTATCAGAAAATAGTATTATAGAAAATTAAACTAGAATTCTGATTTGATCTTCATTATATTCAACTTGAATTTATGGAGTCAAATTTTATATTTGTTAATTTTTTAATAATAATATAGGAATTGATTTTTTATAAACAACTTCTTGCTTTTTAGCTTTGTATAACATTCTATGTAATTTTCTGAAAATTCTAACTTAAGATTTGAAATCTGAATTCCAAAGATTTCTTATCAGTGTATCACTAATATCACTAATATCACTTATTTAAATTGTAAGTATTTCTTATCAGATTGTTGATAAGATTTTTATTTTATACTAATTATCTAGATTTTAAACACTTTTTGGTTTCTTATCAGAATTTTCATAATCTTATTTAAATCTTATATAGTTCTTATCAGAAGATAGTATTATAGGAAATTAAACTAGAATTCTCATTTGATTTTCATTATATTCATCTTGGATTTATGGAGTAAAGTTTTATATTTTTTAATTTTTCAATAAAAGGAATTGATTTCTATAAATAAATTCTGTGTAATTTTTTGAAAATTTCAACCCTAATAAATAATATTGCTCTTAATATACATATTTCATAATATTTTGAATGTATATTTCTTATACTAAATGCTGTAAAAATGATTTTCTCTAAAATATTAATTAATAAAACAATAAACTTTCTATGGAATGAAATTTAAATTTGTTTCTTACCATATTTTAACATTTTTTTATCTATTTTTAATTAAAATATTTATAAAATATACAAAAATTTCTTAACCCGAGCAACTTGACCGATTATGATATTATGTTTGGAGGACGTTTGTTTTTATTAAATTTTGATCCAATTTTTTTTATAAATATATATTTTTTAATATCAGTCTAGTTGTCTATTATCAATTGGTATAATTCGTGTGCGCTAAATTTTTATTTATAATTTTTAGGAAGTTAGATAATGATTTTCGTGTTGATCTATGACGAACGATTTGAACTTTTAGATAAGAACAAGCCAGCTCGTGTAACATTTTATATATATATATATATATATATATATATATATATATATACTAGATTGTATAGTCCTTTCTTAATCGACTTCAAAGAAATAATTGATTCTATTAATTAGTCGCTAATTGGCAAAACGTCTTCTTACATTAGAACAAGTAAATTGTTTAACGAGTTGTAACAAGAGTTTTTTGAACCATTTTAAAAATTCTAAATACGTAAATGTCTGTAAACAATAGTAAAAAATTATTCTTAATGGATGTTAATTTAACGAAAAATTAAAATACATTTATACTTGAAAAATATTTATCGAAAATACTTGCGACATTTTTAGTTTTATTCATTTCTTTAACTAAATATTATAAGAGGAAGTTTATCCGAGAATTTTCACCTGTAGATTTTTATCTCGTCCAAGAGTTGCATTAGTGTTTTGTGTATATAGATGTATGTTTGTGCAATTTCGATGCCAAAAATGCATTATTCGATCTAATTTTAGTTACTGCGCCTTTTGTTCTGTTAATTGGATTAGTTCGAAGAAAACATTAAGTTCTGGCTTTGGTTTTAAATTAACATTGCAATTCCTTATAGATTAGATTATGTAATATTTGTGACATGAAATTGTTTTCGTTGATCAAATATATGTATATATATGTATATATATATATATATATAAATATAGATATATATATATATATATATATATATATATATATATATATATATATCCTCTTTCAAAGACTAATAATGAAATTCGGAAATAAAATTTAATTCGTAAGATCCTGTAAGCCATATAACAAGTACATCTTTAAATAAATCAATTCATCAATTCACATCCCATTAACTGGTTTCTTTATGTAGAACCGGAAAATAAATTTAACAACTCCTGGCAACGAACTCTGTGTAGAATTCTCACGATATAATTCAATTTATTTGTAAATAATTATTTGCAATAAATGTACATGACTTAATTTATTTAGTTCTAGTTTTTGGCAGAAAATCCGATTTAGTAATTTTATGTCATACTGAATCGTCTGAGACCAAAATTTCGAAAAGTATGAGTATGAGGTGAAAATAGTTCAATATACAAGTTTTTTTTTCAAAAAATTGTTAATTGATTTCAATCTACCAAACTGTTTTTATTATTTATTATAAATAGAGCAATACTGCAATATTTTGTAAATATGGATACACATATATGGATTGGGGACATTTTTCTGGATTTTTTTAAATAACTATAAAATTTTGTTCAAGGCGTTTACTAAACTTTACTAAATTATAATATTACTTGTTATTTATACTTGCATATTTGAGATAAAATTAGTCGGAACGCATGGTTGTATATTTTGCTGATTGGAAATACATGGTTTTAGGACATTTTTCTTGATTTTGTCAAATAACTATAAAATGCTGTTCTAGACATTTCAATTTAATTACATCAGTAAAAACTATCAGAATAATTTATTCTGTGCTTTTCCCAATTTGTCATGTGCTCTTCCTAATTTGTTATTTTCCCTCCTTAATTTGTTCTGTGCTCTTCTTAAGTTTTTCTGTGCTTTTCCTAATTTTTTCTGTGTTCTTTCTAATTTTTATAGTTCTTTCTAATTTTTATGTGTTCTTTCTAATTTTTCTGTGTTTTTTTTTCTAATTTATTTGTGCTCTTTCTAATTTTTCTGTGCTCTTTCTAATTTTTTCTATGCTCTTTTTAATTTTCTCTGCTCCTTTTAATTTTTCTGTGCTCTTCCTAATCTTTTCTGTGCTTTTACTATTTTTTTCTGTGCTCCTCCTAATTTTTTCTGTATCATTACTAATTTTTTCTGTGACCTTCTTAATTTTTCCTGTCTTTTCTAGTTTTTTTTCTGTGCTCTTCTTATTTTTTTCTGTGCTTTTCTTATTTTTTTCTGTTCTTTTTCTAATGTTTTCTTTGTTCTTCCTAATTTTTTCTGTGCTACTCCTAATTTTTTTTATTCTTTTCCTAATTTTTTCTGTGCTCTTTCTAATTTTTCTGTACTCTTCATAATTTTTTCTGTGCTCTTCATATTTTTTTCTGTGCTTTTTCTAATTTTTTCTATGCTCTTCCTCATTTTTTGTATGCTCTTCCTCATGTTTCCTATGCTCTTTCTAATTTATTCTATGCTCTTTCTAATTTATTCTATGCTCTTTCTAATTTATTCTATGCTCTTTCTAATTTATTCTGTTCGTTTCCTAAGTTTTTGTGAGCTTTTACTAATTTTTTCTGTGTCTTTCATAATTTTTACGTGTCTTTTAAAATTTTGACGAGTTTTTCCTAATTTTTCCCGTGCTCTTCCTGCTTTTTACGTGTCTTTTATAATTTATACGTGTCCTTTATAATTTTCTCTGCGCTCTTTTTAATTTAATCTGTGTTTCTCCTCATTTTTTCAGTGAATTTCCATACTTTTTCAGTGCACTTCCACACCTTTTCAGTGTTTCTTGCTCTTCCTAATTTTTTGTTGCTTTACTAATTTATTATATGTCTTTCTTCATTTTTTCTATGCTCTTCTGATTTTTTATTAGATTTATATTTGTTTCTGTGTCCTTCCTATTTGTTTCTGAGCCCTTCCTCATTTTTTCTGTGCACTTCTTAATTTTTTTATGCTCTTCTTAATTTTTTCTATGCTTTTCCTCATTTATTGAATGCTTTTCCTTTTTTTCTACGTTCTGTCTTTTTATGTATATTTCATATTTTTTTCTGTGCTCCTTTCTAATTTTTCTTCTATGTCCTTTTCCCAGTATCGGCAAGTATCGGCCCTCACGGGTGAAACGCATGGCCGCCCGTCCGCGCTTCAGATCAACCCATCGCCGCTGTCGTTCGTCGCCAGATTCGCCGAAGTCGCCTGCGATCGCAGCCGTCGCCAAGGTCACCGATAAGGCCATCAGGGCATCGAGGGACACCAAAAAGAGGCGACATCTCATCTCCTCAGGGCAATTCTGCTCGAGGCGCAGGAGGCGCATGAAGCAGGATAAAAGACACAGAATCATCAGAGACGGGGAAGGTTTCAAACTCGATCCCGAATTCAAGGGAGGGGTAATAGGAATAGACACAAATAGTACTGTGATAGAGATAGACGAATTGAAAGGTGGTAGGTTTAGTATAGTGCAATGGAAGGAATTGTTTACGGAAGTCTTCCTACGGGACTTGTCGTTACTTCGACATCACCAGCAAGGCATAGGTGTGCTACATCCATCACCGCCAGTTGTGATGCAACGAATGTGTGTGATGACCCAGAGACTAAAGGCGGTTTTATAAAAAGTGATACATTTAATAACAAAAGTGATTTTAACCTTAGGCAAAATCCCCATAATGGTAGTCCATTACCTTCTGACCTTGATAAAATTTTCGGTACTTCACCTGAAAAAATGATTGTCAGTCCCGATGTTTTTGATGATTTTACTGCGTTTGCTAGTGATGGTGAAGTGCAAAAACCAGTGTCATTGTCTTCGACAAACGATGACGTTCCTGGTAATAGTGATTTTACCATTAGCCACAACCCCCAGAAGTTACCTAATAGTAATGGTAGTCCATTACCCTTTGATAAAATTTTTGGTACCTCTCCCGAAAAAATGGTTGTCAGTCCCGATGTTTTTGATGATTTTACTGCGTTTCCTAGTGATGGTGAAGTGCAAAAAACAGTGTCATCGTCTTCGACAAACGATGACGTTCCTGGTGACAAAGATGAAGGAACCAAAAGTTTACACGTACAGTTTTTGAATGGACAACGTGATACCACAGGAGAGACTTTGGCATCTGATGGAAAATCTATAGGTAGGATAAATGATATTTCAAAGATCACCCTTATCACTAAAACAAACACATTTTTTAATTTTACTATTTTAAAGTAGAGGGCAAAAGATGTAAAACCGTCAGTCATATATTTATCTAGGTTAGAGCTGGGCTTAAATGTCCACCAGCATCACTATTTCTAAATCTATTTTATATACTATACTATACTATTTTAAAGTAGGGGGCAAAAGATAAGTAAGTCAAATTTTTATCGAAAGTAGTTTTTTTTCGTTGTTGGTTTGGACAACGTAATACTACAGGAGAGACTTTGCTATCTGATGGAAAATCTATAGGTATGGTAAATGATATTTTAAAGATGACTCTTATCTCTAAAACAAATACATTTTTTTAATTTTACTATTTTAAAGTAGAGGGCAAAAGATATGAAACCAGCCAGAAGATTTTAATTTACTATCTCTAAAACTACTTTATATACTATACTATACCATTTTAAAGTAGGGAGCAAAAGATAAGTAACCAACGAGTTAAACACCACATTGTCAATTTTTTATCAAAAGTAGTTTTTTTCGTTGTTAGTTTGGACAACGTAATACTACAGTAGAGACTTTGCTATCTGATGAAAAATCTATAGGTATGGTAAATGATATTTTAAAAATCATCCGTATGTCCAAAACAAACTGACAGTGGAATTTTTTATCGTTACTATTTTAAAGTTGAGGGCAAAAATATGAAACCAACCTGAAAATTTAAATTTTTCAAATCATTCAATCATAGATTTATCTAGAATTGAATTGTTCCTAATTATCCACCAGCATTTCTTTCTAAAAAACAAGTAAACTATGGTATTTTTTACTATAATATTTTAAAGTAGAGGGCAAAAAGTGTGAAACCAGCCCATAGATTTTAAATTTTGAAATCAATCAATTGTATATTTATCTAGAGTACAATTGTTCTTAATTATCCGCCAGCATTACTATACGTTTTTTATTTATTCTATAAAGTGTATTGCTATTTTTCAGTTAGATTCAACAGTTTTTTTTATTTCAAAAATGAATAAAATGTGTTATTTTTAACGATGCTATTTTAAAGTAGAGGGCAGATGATGTATAATCTGCCATAGTCTTAAATCGAGTCACATGGCTACACATGGCTATCATGAGATAAATGTCTAAATCGTAGTTTTTTAACCAAAGTATTTATTTGTGTTGAGCACTGTTATTTAGTTTCCGATACCTGGGTAAAATTTTTAGTATACACTTTTTATTTGTTGTAAAATTCACACATATCAACCAACCAGAGCTTTAAATTCAGTGCTATTTTACTATCTCGAAAAAAAATCAAAATAAAATTTTTAACGAAAGTAGTTTTGTTAGTTGCTAGATTTTTTTGGTTTTGAGCACTGTTGTTTAGTTGACGATACCTGGCTTTTCATATTTTGGATTTTTAGAACCAATCAATTTTTTTATTTAGACTTAGAGCTTCTCAGGTAAAAATGACCACCACCATCATTATTTCAAAAACAAATAAACTGCGATATTTATATTTTTAGCGATGCTATTTTAAAGTAGAGGGCAAACCATGGGTAACCAGCCATAGTCTTGAAAAGGCCACATAGCTATCACGAGATAAACGGCAACATTGTAAAATTTTTAACGAAAGTATTTTTTTATTTTCCTGTAGTTGTTAGTTTTTTTTGTGTTGAGCACTGTTATTTAGTTTACGTAATGAAAATTTAATTTTTATTTATATCTTAGTTATAAAATGTGTTATTTTAATGCTAGATCTAGCAGTTTTTCTTTAATTCAAAAATAAATAAACTGTGGTATTTTTAACGATGCTATTTTAAAGTAGAGGGCAAAATATCTGTAACCAGCCATCATTTTAAATTGGGCGACAATCCCCAATGGCAAAAGCCATTACGAGATCAACTGTCACATTGTAATTTTTTCAACAATAGTGTTTTTCTTGTGGATCATGTTTTTTGTATTGTGCACTGTTGTTTAGTTTACGATACCTCAGTAAAATTTTTAAGTATACTTTGTTTAATTAATTTATATCGTGTATAGTTATTTTAAATTAGATTCAGCAGTTTGTTCCATTATCTTCAAAACAACTAAACTGTGGTGTTATTAAGGATGCTAATTTAAAGTAGAGGGCAAAAGATATGTAACCAGCCATCATTTTAAATTGGGCGACAATTCTATTACGAGATAAACTGCCACATTGTAAATTTTTCAACAATAGTATTTTTCTCGGTGATAGTGTTTTTCGCATTGAGCTCTGTTGTTTAGTTTATGTTACCTCAGTAAAAGTTTTAAGTATAGGGTATGCCATCTAACATTTTTTATTTTCATTTTTTTCAACGGTTAGCCGAGGCTTTTTTTCATTTTTGAATGAAATTATAATAATCATTATTAACTGAATTAATTTCAATCATTAACTGAAAGGATTGTACTTTCAAATAAAAAAAGAAATTTAAGAAAATACACATTAGTTTTCCAAAAAAAAATTATTTGGCGAACCCTATATATCTGGTTTAATTCATTCATATCGTCTATAGTTATTTTTAGGTTAGTTTCAACAGTTTTCACCATTATCTTTAAAACTGTGGTGTTTTAAGGATGTTATTTTAAAGTAGAGGGCAAAACATTTTAGTTCCCACAGAATAGTTACAAAAATCAAATTGAAACTTTATGCCCTGACCTAACATCCAAAATATTTTTCCCAGGATCTCCTATAACTCCGCTAAACTCATCAAACGCAACTTCGGCCTCATCATCCTCGACATCATCATCATCATCATCCGATGAAGATGAAAGCAGCAGCAGCACACTATCATCAGAATATACCCATGCTGGAATTTCCACCAAACGTCCTCAACCTCCAGATGGTGGTTGGGGATGGGTTGTGGTAGCAGCTGCTTTTTGCGTCAATTTGATAGCAGACGGTATATCCTTCAGTTTTGGAGTTATGTTTGTAGATTTCTTAGAATATTTTGGGGATAACAAATCTACTACTGCTTGGATTGGAAGCTTATTCATGGGGATGCCGCTTTTGAGTGGACCTGTGGCTAGTTTTTTAACGGACAGGTAAGAAACTAGTTGGTATTGGTATTTTGCCTTTGAGGCAAGTTATATGAACTTCCCTGTATGTGTAGATAATCGACATAGTCAATAAAATATAAATTAATTTATGAGTGATTAAAAGTGTTCCCAGTGGATTTATTACACATGTTTGAAAACGGCGGAAGACGTTAACTCGGAGTATATTCTAAAAGCAAATTTTCAAAAATCAATAATTTTTATAATTGAACCAGTTTTTCTAGGTTATTATTGGTTTAGTATGTTCATTAAGACCAAGTACTCTATCGTTATACCAAGTAAATCATCTAATTTTAATTTTAACAAACGACAAAAAAACTACTCATTTTCTCAAACTTTGATGAATTTTTTAAATTAAATTACTTGTCGTAAAGCCGTAATATTTCAGTAAGTTCTATAAGACCATGATATATATAAAAAATGTATTTATATTTCTTTAATTAACTTGAAAATTTTGTTCCGTACACCCTTGTTTAATTAAAGTAGCAAAAACTAGATAAAGTTTACTAAATTTGTACATAAGCTGTTATATAATCTTTGGTACAAAATTTTTGAGAAAATGAATCAAGTTTGAACCCACTCTTATGTATTTCAAAATTTGCACCATTTAAATTTAAGACACTTACTGCAATTGATTAAATATCTTGAAAATTTTGTTTCGGGCAGACTTTTTAATTTAGCTTAGCAGAAACTAGATAAAATTTCTTGAATTTGCATATACACAGCTTCTTACACTTTGGTACAAGAAATTTGAGAAACAAAATCATAGTATGAACTTGCTTTATGAATTTTAATAATTTGAGGTACATTTTCAAATTTTGTCAAATAACTCGAGAATTTTGTTCTTTTTTAGTTAGCTCAGCATAAACTAGATAAAATTTACTACGATTACATATACATAGCTTTACGAGATAAAATTTAATTTTCGTATTCGTATACACTACTATACAAAAATTTTTGAAAAAAAAACAGTTGCACTTAGGTATTGTGTTAATTTCAAAGAAAGTTCCATAAAAATCGGCATCATTTTTTTTTCAACAGTTAATTACAAGAAACCGGCTCGGTATATTTTTACCTAAAACTAATCTGTATCATTCCCAACTGATCTTTCAAACAGTTTTTGATTTTTTTAAATCGTTTCGGTAGTTAGAGGTTAAATGTGGACGAAACGTTCTTTTTTCAAATTACAAAGAAACGGTTTGGCAGATTGTCACACTAAACTGGAAAGCTTTAGTCCTCATTGAGATACATCGAATGGCTTTTAAATTTCTGAAATTGGTTCAGGCGTTTTTGAGAAAACGTCGATCAAAGGTCTTATTTTGACAAATGCCAACAGAACGATACTAATTTTTGCAAACTTTGAAGAATTTTCAAAACCAAACGGCTTGTCGAAGGGCCGTCATATTTTAGTATGATCTAGAAGACTATGGTATCTACCGTAAAAAAAATCATAAAAATCATCGATTTTTTTTTAACTTTATTACAAGAAAACGGCCCGGCCGATCCTTCGTACAAAACTCAGAAACGCTAGGCCTCATCGAGATACATCGAATGGCTTTTAAATTTTTGAAATTGGTCCATCTGTTTTCGAGAAAACGTCGATTTACGGTAAAAAATCTTACACATACTTTTTCCAAATTTGGTTTCATTCGATTCAGAATGGCTTGAAACGTCCAGGAAAAAAAAATTAGCGAGTCGGGATTTTGGATGAAAACATAAACTTCTCCTTCGGGAAGTTAAAAATCAATAACTGTTCGGAAGATATTAGTTGGGAATGGTACTGATTAGTTTTAGGTGAAAATCTACCGAGCAGTTTTCTTGTTATTAACTGTTGAAAAAAAAATTTAAGCCGATATATATTATGGTCTTATAGAACTTACTGCAATATTGCGGCCTTACGATAAGTAGTTTAATTTTAAAAATTCATCAAAAGTTTGAGAAAATAAGTAGTTTTTTTGACGTTAGCTAAAAATTAGACGATTTACTTGGTATAACAATATAGTACTTGGTCTTAATAAACATACTAAACCATTAAACTCTCACTGGTTCAATTATAAAAATTGTTGATTTTTGAAAAGTTGCTTTTTGAAAATACTCCGAGTTAACGTGTTCGTTCGTTTTCAATTATGTATAATAAACTGAGTACTTAATAACGTTGTCAATATTAATAGAAGTCAATGTTATAAAAATCTCGTATAACATTTTAATAAATGACTATTATTACATCGATGAACAGTGTGTGGGCAGAATGGTATTAAAAATTACCATATATATAATGTTCACACCAATGAAAAAGGAACAAATATCAAAATATATTTATCATTCGAAATATATTAGGTTGTCAAATATCTCCCTTCCGCTTTTTTGCTCATGGTTTATAATACAAAAAGGCGGAAGGGAGATATTTGACAACCTTGTATGGAGCTATATTGCCTAGGAAAAAAATTTAAGAGAATATTTCATAGGCAGAGCATACCATTGGTTTTGATATACTAGGTGTAAGTATAGTAAATTTTATTCATAATTAAATAAATTATTAAGATAGATGCAAGTCAACTAGTTCAATGATTAAAATAATGTTTTTTAACCAAATAGGTCTGAAAGAATGCAACTATATGTTCCAAGAAGGTATAAAAGATTGGGCACGGTTGTGCTACATTCCACTCATAAATTAATTTATTTTTTATTGATTAAGTCGATTTTTTACACATATCGGGAAGTTCATGTAACTTGCCTCAAGGCTAAATATAGTTGAAACTTTAATCATTGTCATGTTCTAGATATGGTTGTAGGAGAGTGACGATTGTCGGAGCAATTTTAGCAGCTGCAGGATTTGCTCTGAGTTCCCAAGCCAACAGCATTATGGCACTTTTGTTCACCTTCGGCATTCTGGCAGGTTTTGGCCTAAGTTTATGCTACGTAGCTGCAGTCGTCATCGTTGCTTACTACTTTGATAAGAAACGATCCTTTGCAACTGGTAAAAATATTCCTGTATTGTATGCAAAATTCTTCTATTCCCTATACAATATTATTTTATCCAGGTCTGTCAGTTTGTGGCAGTGGTATAGGTACTTTCCTGTTCGCACCTTTAACCCAAGCTCTTTTGGACGAGTATGGTTGGAGAGGTACGACTTTGATCCTGTCAGGATTATTTCTTAACATGGCTGTTTGTGGTGCCTTGATGAGGGATTTACCATGGACTGCAGATTTGGCACGTGCTAAAGCCAGAGATAGAAAACGAGCAAGGTAAAGAATTTTTTTGTGCAACAACCCCAAGTCATTACGTTTATCCTGTTTAGGGTTTATACAAAAACCGACATTTCAGAAAACCGGTTTTCTAATTTTAATTTCACTAAAAAACCGGTTTTAATTGGTTTTCGAATTTTATATAGAAAGTAAAATTTTTGCTCGAATATTCTGTAATTTATTCGCAAATTTAGTGTAATTTTGAGCAGTATTTGACTGAATTTATTTATTGTTCAATAGTAAACAAAATTATTTTAATTTTATTTAGTAGAACTAAAAAATAATAGTTTATCTTGATTAAATAACTTTGAAAATAAATAATAAATAACTTTGAAAATAATTATTCGTCATTCAAGCATCAGTTTCACTTAGGGTTAAATAAGGTTGTCAAATATCTCCCTTCCGCCTTTTTGTATTATAAACCAACAGCAAAAAAGCGGAAGGGAGATATTTGACAACCTAATATAAGAATGAAAATATTTTTATGATAGTGAAAGGAAAGTTTTCGAATAAATAAAGATAATACATTTTTAAATAAGAAAAAATTCATTAAATAAAAAAATAAAGAAATATTAGATACATGTTGATACATACTTGTTAATATCAATTTTAGTTTTAAAAATAATCAAGCTAAAACTTTTATTTCTGTTCCGAGCAATTTTAACCCTTTCGACTCGGATGCCGCAAACTAAACATACAACGTGTGATTTTTTTCATACTTATGAAGGTAATTCACTATTAAGTTCATTTACTGATTAATTTATAATTATTTTCAAAAATATATATGGTCAAAATAATTTAATTGCTCATAAACACCATTATTTTTTAGATATAATTGTTACCAAAGATTTCATTTTATATATTATTTATATATATATATATATATATATATATATATATATATATATGTATACAATGTAATGTATTATACATATGCATAATATACATACATACACATACACACGTATATATTAGGTTGTCAAATATCTCCCTTCCGCCTTTTTGTATTATAAACCAGGAGCAAAAAAGCGGAAGAGAGATATTTGACAACCTAATATATATTATTTATATTGGGGTATTATTGGGGTTGTTTTTAATACAGGCACGTAAACCGTATCTACCTCCAAGAATATAGTTTTTCAATTATTTTTTTTATTTAGTTTATATTCAGAATATATTTGATATAATTTTTATTAATTAATTTTTATAAACATCTGTGTAAAAACGATTTTCTAAACAATAACATGGTTTGTATCATTTTTTTAAATTTTTTTTCAAATTTTCTGTTTTATTATCATACTAACGATATTTAAAAGCAATATTACCACATTATAAAAAAATCCGATACAAAAAAAAATCCGAGTTGAGATATATATATAGCACTATAATAGAGTGGAAAGTGTTAATTAATTAATTTCAAACATTCTAATTATTTTTTGTTTAATAAAGTATGATTTAAAATAACCGAGAACGTATATTGAAAAGCTACTTAGACATGTCCTTTGTTTACTCACAAAATTTCCTGAAATAGAAAATACTCTCATACTTGCGACCAAATAATGCTTAATTGATATAATAATTCCAAGTTTTTTTTTCTTTAATTTGTGGCTTCTAGAGTTTAAAACTCTTTTTTTAAGTTTGAGTAGAGGAAGTTACTTCTTCAAGAAGAAGTCACACTGATTTAAATTAATATATACACCGGTATAAAAATCTAAATTAATATATACAAAACCATTGCAGACTGATAAGATATCAAATGCTACTGAACCGACATGATTTCAAGAATCAAAACGCTTTCATCTATCTTTTATATTTGGCTAAATTTGTGATTTTCCATTTATACAGTGAAAATCGACTTTTTTCACTGAGAAAACGGTTTTCGAATTCCATAATTTTTGCCCAAAAACCGGTTTTTGAAAACCGAAAAACCCTAATCCTGGTGTGTATTTTAGGCGTCGTTTGCGAGCCATTGGTGTCAAACAGCGTAAAAACAAAAAGAAAATTAAAGGTGGAAGTTCTGCCGAATCGTTTACAGCCAGCAATAGCACTAATACTTATAGCCAACTGCAATCATTGGCTATAAATAATGGCCTGGTAACTACCATTGGTGAAGAAGATGAAACTGAGGACAGGTAAATCAATTTATAGCATGACACCCCAACTAAGAGGCATGTACATGATTTTTTTCTCATCAGGGAAGATCACAAGGGTGATTTGATGTCTAAATCAGCACCTGTACGTCCTTTGTTCAGTTCCTTGGTCAACTTACCCACGTATGTGTTGAATAATACCGGGAATATCTCTAATGGTGATTTGGATCATCAGGCTGCTCTGGATATTATTTTGGCCAGGAACAAGGATTTCTACTTAGTTTCCCAACAAGGTAAGAAGAACTAAATATAGATCATACTTGTGTTTTTGCTAAGTATTTGCAATTTTTAACTTTCTTTAGGGTAGTTATAGTAATGGGCCGAAAATCGAAAATGAAATTTTTTGCATTTCTCGACGTTTTGAAAGTTTCTGAACATTTTGGCATACCTCAGAAACTAAATGGAAGTGTGTGTGTATGTGCTTGTGTGTGTGTGTGATGTATGCATGGATACAATTTTTCGTCCACGTTTTCGGGCGCACAGATCGACCAATTTGAATGGTTTAAAAAACATTCAATCCCTATTATTAGGGAGATGTGTAGATTAGGTTTTAGCAAAGGCAGATCCAGCCGTTACGGAGATACGGAGCAAAGAGTGCAGAAAATACAAATCGAGTTTTTGAGAGAACGGAGTATCGGCTTTGAATGATCTAGAAAACATTCAATTTGTAATGATTGAGAGAAGAGGTGATTAGTTTTAGGCAAAGGCAGGTCCCGCCATTTTGAAGATACAGAGCTAAATGTGCAAAAAATGCCAGTTCCGATTTGAATGATCTAAAAAACTTTCTGCTTGTATTGACAAAACAATTGCTTACAAAATTATTACATATTTTTTTATTTTCCATAAAATGTTTGTAATTTTGGATTAAAAATTCAAAAAATCACCCAGACTAAGCACAGTCTAAGCCAGAGGTGGGGAACCTTTTTGCCATTAGAGGCCACACTTAAATTAGGCAGCAATGAAAGAGGCCGCATAAACTGATTGACCTAACAAAGTGACTTTTGTGAAATTATTTTAGTTTTTTATAGTTTTAACAATTTATTGCATTATATAGAAAAAAGTAAATAAAATACTTCAAAATTTTAAATATAATATAATATATAATAATAACACTAAGTTAGTGACTTATTTGGCTTTGTTTTTTGCTTGCTAGTTTTTCGCTTGGCAACTGAGCAATTTATGACAAAATGACCAGTAAATGTCGAGATGTAAAATTTGTGGGTATCGAAGGAAATCGAATAAAATTTCATTCATTTTTCTTGAAGATTGAAAAAAAAAGTTGGTATGTTTCGAACGTATGTAATGAGATAAAATCGACTTCGTTTCGATAAAATCGAATTTTAGTTCGTTTTAATTTCATTTTTTATATAAATGATAGATTTTTATTTTGCAAACTAAGGTGTTACCGATTAATTTAGGGAATTTCGGGCTTCGGAAAAACCAGATTAAATTCATTTGTGAACTTTCGGTATGAATATTTCTGCTTGTTGTCATTCATGACAATAGTTATCATAACAAAAAAAGGTTTAATGCATTAAACGCAACGTTATTTCTTTCCTTGATTCCATTTGACAAACATTTAAGAATATAATCTAAAAAATATTAATAAATGATGTACCTACTCCATTTAGAGAATAATAATGTTTACCCATGAAAATAAGCGTAATATTTGATAATGTATAAACTAACAATAATGAACGTGAAAGAAATATTTTAATCAAAATATGTATTTATTATGCACAAAATGTATTGTTAATTTATATTTTGCATTTGAGTTGTTCTCATTTCAATATGTTCTCTGTATTTATATTGCAAGATTTAAATATAAATAAATTCTATATATTAAGTGTAAATAAATACGGACACATATTTTGCCTACAGCAATTCTTAAAAATATATTTTTGTATTTTATGAAAAAAAAGTATAGTTTTGTGTCATTTTATAACTATAGTCTCATAAAATTGCCAATATATCTTGGTAAAATCTGGTTGCTCCGATCTCCGCCAAAGCTGCGGATTTGCTTTTGATTGCGAGAAGTATAAATTTTTATCATTTTACTACGGATACGCATAAAAATCTTCAACCTGGGTGCTAACGATTCTTTTGCACTGTTAATTTTTTTATAATACTTTTTGAATCATATAATAGGCGATGTTTTGCGAAATCGAAAGTATTACTTATATTAAATAATATGAATATAATATATTACATCTCAATTTTGTATCTGCCTAAGAGTTTGTGTTTCAGGCTAGTAATCTGATGTCATGTTACAATATGACTGTTTTTGGTGAGATTTTTGTACAATAGTTCTTTGAAAGTAACTTTGCTATTTTGTACTAGACGGCAAGGGGCCGCACAAGAACCTTCCGGAGGCCGCATGCGGCCTCGAGGCCGCAGGTTCCCCACCTATGGTCTAAGCGCTACTCTGGTACAAATGTTCACCCAAGTGCGTTCAGACTGTATATGTACCGGACCACTTTACCAAAAACTATTAAAAAAATGTAAAAATGCCGCCAAGCTGAGCACAGTATAAGTAAAAATGTCGCACAGAATTATTTGCAAACGCGTTTAGACTGTGACTATACGGAAGCACTGTATCAATTTTGTGTAAATTAGCCAACTATTTTTTTCTAAATTGAATTCGAAATGAAATGACGATTGTTAATGTTGTGGAGATAAATTGATTTGTGATTTACATTTGATTTGCTCAGATATAACAATTAAGATAGCAAAAATAATGAAAGTTACAGTATTTGTAATAATTAATTTGAAAAAGTTTAACATTTCTCGAATATTTCATCACGGTACGAAAAGTTCCAGCAATTTGCCTTAAGGCACGATGCCATACACCACTAGGTTGCAGTTAATTTTGATCTGTTTGTATTATTTTTATCATTTACCAGGTGACAAAGGTGTAAAAGATTTGGAAGATATTTTTGCTGCTCGGAGCAAAGATGCTGCTGTTCTGGATTTATTGCTGCAACGAAACGAACAACTGGCTCCTTCCAAAAGTTTTAGTGATAGTGGACGTCTGGACAACATTGGACGTTCTGAAGACATCAAAAAAGATATCAATGACTTAGAATCGGTAAGTACTTTTTGGTACTATTTATTTTTGATTCCGGAGTAATATTATCTATTATCTTATTATTATTTATTATCTATTACAGCCTCCTCCTGCTGCTGCTGCAAATGCCAAAACCGCGAATGGTAGACTATTCAGGAAAAACCAAAACGGTTTGATTCCAAACCAAGGTGCAACAAATCCTGTTTTGGACAACTCTGCTAATAAAAGACTTCAGGTTGGTACACCAAGTGGTTTGCAAATTGTTTTCAATATATTTAGTTTATGGTTGGTTTTCTAGGCTTCGTACTTAAAAGATCTACGTGTACACAGGCACTCGCTGACTTACCGTGGTGCCATGTTGAACATCAACAGGTACAGATTAAGAGCTTCATCTTGTCCAGATATTTACAGAAATTCCATGACAACTATTGCCAAGGAACAGTACGACAATTGGCCATGGGATGGTGAGTCTATACAACCAATATGCATACTAGGGTGGCCCTTAATATGGACATTTTTGAATTTCCTTGCTTCCAAGGGCTCAAATGGTTCCAAATTGATAAAAAACAATTCTCAGAAAGTTTTAGCTCTTAATATTAACTTTTAGATAGTGCGCAATTCAATCAAACTTTGTATGGAAATAGAATGGACATACATCATAAACTAATATTTAGATAATTTAATTTATGAATTTTTTTATAGCTAAAAGTAAAAACAGAAGTAAAATTTTTCCTAAGATTTTGCGCGTGCACGTTAACCTAAAACAAAGGGTCGATCCAGGTTGCGTGCACTTTTAGGCTAAAACAAGCCCCTAACTGCATTTATTGAGAAAACAATATACAATATGAAGTCAAATAATAAAATATGACTTATAATACTATTATAAATATTTTTTAATTAAATTGAGTACAACCCTATATTTATATTACGTTTATTACAAATTGCAAACTTGGACATATTGTAGAGAGTTTAAAACTAATTTATTTAAATTTTTTGTAAAGGAGTGTTTGCTATAGATTATAGGAATATGTAGTAAATTTTATTTAGTTTCTGCTAAGCTAACTAAAAAAGAGTGTGCAGAATGAAGTTTTTGAGTTATTCAAAGAAATATAGAAAAATGTCCCGAATTTTCTATTGCGTTTATCAAAAATCCATTTTCAAAGTCATTTCATTCAAAACTTTTATATTGGATTGTATATAACTGTTTACACGGATTTGTAGTGAATTTCATTTAATTTCTGCCAAGCTAACTGTAAAAGAATGCCAGGTACAAAGTTTTTGAGTTATTCAAAGAAATGATTTGAAAAAAAATCCTTAATCAAATTATACGAATTTACATAAACAAACATATTTTTCATGTTAGATAAAATTACAATTTACAATACCAGACATTTCATAATTATTGCAACAACCGTGTGATTATGTATAAAATTTATTAAATGTTATAAATAATTATGAAATAAAAAAAACTAAGATAAATGTATACGTCTTTATTAATACTCAATATTCAATACTCAATACAAATGTTAAATATTCAATTTTTGCATATTTTTTAAATTACATAATAAATAATACATCATAAACTGATATTTAGATAATTTAATTTATAAAAAAAATTATAGCTAAGAGTAAAAACAGAAGTGGAAGTTTTCCCAAGATTTTGCGCGTGACGTTAACCTGGAACGAAGCGTCGATCCAGGTTGCGTGCACTTTTAGGCAAAAACAAGCCCCTCACTGTATTTATTAGGAAAACAGTATACAATATGAAGTCAAATAATAAAAAATGACTTATAATACTATTATAAATATTTTCTAATTAAATTGAGTATAACAATAAAAGTTAATATTAAGAGCTAAAACTTTCAGAGAATTGTTTATCAATTTGAGCCCTTGGGAGCAAGGAAATTCAAAAATGACCATATTAAGGACCACCATAATGCATACATATTTCTTTTACTACCTAAATTTTTTTACCCAGGTTTGTGGGAGTTTTGGGATCTTCTCCGAGATATGTTGGATTTATCGCATTTTGCAGATGCCCGGTACGTTTCTTTTGCCCTGTCAAACTTTCTTTTATACACTTGGTACGATGTGATGTACATCTACTTGGCTGATAATGCCATCGGGATGGGAGTTAGCCAAACTGATGCTTCAGTACTTCTTAGTGTTATTGGGATATTGAACATGGTCGGAGAGGTAAGAAGATTTTCAACTTTCCGTAGAGTAAGTTATAGTAGTCAAAAAATCGAATATGATAATTTTTATTTATCTTTACGTTTCAAAGGTTTTATATATATAAGGTGGAATAAATGGATGTATTGTGTGTGTACAAATTTTCATCGGCGATTTCAGGAACACCGGTCCACCCATTTGAATAATTCTAAAAACGATTCGTATTGATAAGGAGACGTGTTGATTAGTTTTTGGCAAAGGCAGGTCTAACCGTTTCGAAGATACGGGGCAAAAAGTGCCAAAAATGATTCAAATAATTCAAAAAACATTTTACTTGTATTGACAAGATGAAGAATTTATCAAATTTTCATGAAGGTTTCGGAGATCTAATGAAAAAAGTAAAAAATAATGCCATTTTCGGTCAAAAATGATCATTAGACATACGTACATATTGTATTATCAGATATTTTATAGAGATTTTATTAATGTGTACACATTTTGTGTCATTTTTTGGGTTCCGTACCAAGATTTTTAATTTTAAAAATTACTTCTATGATTCAAATAAATGTCCTCGACTTTTTCGACAGTATGGAATACCCGATTTGAATGATTGAGAAAACAATCGGTTTGTTCTCGATCGCGAGGCGTTTTTGCAAAAGGCATGTCTATCCGTTTCGGAGGTATGGAGCGCAAAGTGTGTAAAATGGTTATGCATTTTTCTAGAGAACGGATCATCTGATTCTATTAACTAAAAAAATATTGTGCTTGTATAGCGCCGTGCAAAAAACGCTTTTACAGAAAATTTTGTAATTTTGAAAATTTTCAAAAAAATCAAAGTTTCAAAAAAGTCAAATTTTTGAAATTTTCAATAAAAAATCTAAATTTTGAAAAATTTCAAAAAATATCAAATTAAAAAAAAACAGTTCTTACAAAAAATTTTCTAATATTTCAAAATTTTCAAAAAAAATCGAATATTTTCAGAAATTTCTAATTACTTAAAAAAATTAAAAAGTCGAAGTTTTTAAAAATCTTCAAAATTTTGAAAAAAAATAAAATTTAAAAAAAAAAATAATTCTTGTTCAAGTTCAAGTAAGTTCAAAATTTTTAAAATAAATTAAAGTTTAAAAAAAATTCAAATTCCCGAAATTTTCAATAAAAAATCTAAATTTTGAAAAAATTCAAAAAAATATCAAATTTAAAAAAAATCGAGATCTTACAATTTTTGTTTCAAATAATATTTCAAAATTTTCAAAAAAAATTGAGTATTTTCAGAAATTTCCAATTTTAAAAAAATTAAAAAACGAACTTTATAAAAAAATCAAAATTTTGAAAAAAATGAAAATACTCTTAAGTTCAAAATTTTCAAAAACAATTAAATTTTCAATAAAATCAAATTTTTGAAATTTTCAATAAAAAAAGATCTAAATTTTGACAAACTTAAAAAAATATAAGAATTAAAAAAAAATCGAGATCTGACTAAAATTTTTAAAATATTTCGAAATTTTCAAAAAAAAATCGACTATTTTCAAGAATTTTCTAAAAAATCAAAATTTTAAAAAATTGAGAAGTACCAGAAATATCAAACTTTTGAAAAAATTGAACAAATTTCTTGTGAACAAACACCTAAGTTATAAGCACTTATAAATTTAAGGTATTTATAATAAATAATCTATTGGAAACTATATAAAACAATTGTAATTAATTATTGAAAAATATTATTGATTGATTATTTTCATTCCTCGAATGTTCAATTACTGTACTGGAGAAATTTGTCTACGATGCCATGCATTACTAGTTTTTTCTAAATTGTTATATATATATATATATATATATATATATATATTTATATGATGTTTTTTTTTTTGTTTTTAGATAATTTTAGGCTGGGCTGGTGATTTGCAGTGCCTAAATGCAGGTCTTGTCTACGCTTTGTGTATGGGATTGTGTGGAGCTGCTACTGCCATGGTTCCTTTGATGAATAGTTATTTGGTATGAAATATATTTTCCCAAAATTATCCATCCTATTTATACAAATGTTGGCTCATCTTCCATCTATTTTTGTTACAATTTCAGGGCCTGTGCATCGCCTCAGGAGCTTTCGGTCTCTTCATAGCCGCCAATTATGCACTGACTAGTATTATTTTAGTGGAATTAATAACTTTAGAAAGATTTACAAATGCCTATGGACTTCTACTCTTGGTGCAAGGAGTCGCCAATCTCATTGGACCACCTTTGGCTGGTAAATTCAAAAAAAAAAATCTATTCCCTAACTAATTGCTCACCAAATTTTTCTTTACCAGGTTGGATCGGAGACATCACAGGTACTTACGACTTGTCATTTTATCTGGCAGGTTTGTTCATTGCGATTTCAGGAGCAGTTCTCGTGGTAATACCGATGGTTACCGCTTTTAAGACTTGCAAAAACAGAAATAAGAAAAATCATTCGACGATTGTCGATGTCGAAAGTGCTGATAAAACTGAAGATCTTTTGTACGCGCCTAAAAAACCCGGAGGCGAATTGGTCATCAGTTGTTTTGATTCCAAGGAAAATAAAGGAAATATTGATAGAGTGTAAAACGGTAAAGTTAAATTTGGTGTTATGATGGCCTTATAAATGTACGGATTATAAAAATCTCCAAGTATCAAGTCAGAATTTTGGATAACTTGGTTGTTTGTCGTAATTTTTAACACTAAACCTGGAAATACCGATTTGGCGTAATAAATACCGTTTTCGAGACAAAACAAACCGATTCAGGGTCACAATACCGTTTTTTTGGTCCAAAATACCGATTTTGGGACAAGAATACAGTTTCTGGGACATAACAAACCGATTTACAATTAGTGCTTAAACCGATTTCGGGGCCTAAGTTCCGATTTTTGGTCAGAAATACCGTTTTCGAGACAAAACAAACTGATTTAGTGTCACAATACCGGTTTTTGGTCCAAAATACCGATTTCGGGACAAAAATACAGTTTTTGGGACAAAACAAACCGATTTAAAATTAATGCTTAAACCGATTTCGGGGCTTAAGTACCGATTTTTGGTCAGAAATACCGTTTTCGAGGCAAAACAAACCGATTTAGTGTCACAATACCGGTTTTTGGTCCAAAATACCGATTTTGGGACAAAAATACAGTTTCTGGGACAAAACAAACCGATTTACATTTAATGCTTAAACCGATTTCGGGGCTTAAGTACCGATTTTTGGTCAGAAATACCGTTTTCGAGGCAAAACAAACTGATTTAGTGTCACAATACCGGTTTTTGGTCCAAAATACCGATTTTGGGACAAAAATACAGTTTCTGGGACAAAACAAACCGATTTACATTTAATGCTTAAACCGATTTCGGGGCTTAAGTACCGATTTTTGGTCAGAAATACCGATTTCGAGACAAAACAAATCAGTTCAAAATATATTTTTTGCAACTTTTGATAAAATTGAACAATTTTTTTAAGTATAATTTTATTAAACGGATTTTTTTAATTTAAAAGTTAATAGTTTATATTGGTTGATTGAATAGTATTATTTTCACTTACATATATAAAGTTTTTTTATATAAGTTTTTTTAAGAAAAGTGTTATTTTTTATATTTTTTTATAATAGATAAACTATATCTTAATATTTTTTTATGGTTCAATTAGAAACAAATGTTTACAAAAATTCGTCGAACTAAAATTGGTTTTATTTTCTTTATTTCGAACGTTTCGACACTTTATACGAGTCATCAATCAGTAAATCTCAATTGCAAAAAATATTAGAACATCTTTTTAAGATTTTTCCATATTGAAACATATTTTCCGAGATTTTTTCCTTCAAATTATCTAAATAAAAAACGACAAATATTTAAATTATTTATTATGTACGTTTCGACACTGTTCGTGTGTCATCGTTCAACGTAGTTCTAAAAAATTTTAAAAATCTACAAAACATTTTACAGAAAAAAAAAATATTGTAAAAAATTATTTATTTTATTTATTTGCAATATTCAGTAAAAATTTTATATGATTTTTTTTGTAGTAATAATTTTGTACGTTTCTACACCGCTTGTGTGTCATCATTTGAAAAACTGTACATTTTACAAAAAAATGTTATACTTAATGTTAAACAATTCATTTTTTTCACAATGTTTAGTAGTAATTTTTGTAAAATGTTTAAATATTCGAATTTTTAAAATTTGCATAAATAAATAAATAAGGTAATTTATTTTTTTACATAGTAATTATTTTTCAAAATTATTAAATTAAAATTGTTTTTAAAATTCTGTAATTCCATAGAGTTTTATAAAAATTTTCCCTAAAAATGATGACACGCATACACCGTCGAAACGTTCAAAATAGAAAATTCTAATATTCTTCGCGCATTTTGTAAATTGTAGAATGGTAAAAATATAATTGTTTTATTGATTTTTTACCAATTTTTGGCAATTTTTTATAAATTTGCAGAACGATGGCACACATGCGGTGTCGAAACGTACAACATCAATAATTCAAGTATTTGCCATCTATTTTTTATTTTTATTTTAACATTTATTTTCAGCCAAATTTTTGAAATAACAGAAGACAAATATTTTGAATTATTTTTATTTTTGAATTATTCAATATTTATTTTGTACGTTTTGACACTGCATGTGTGTCATTATTTGGCAAGTTCTAAAAACTTGTACAATTTACATAATATAAAGTTAATAATTTTTTTTTTAAATTCAATAAAATCAACTATTAAAAGACATTCTGTAAAATTTGAAATTTTGAAATACGTTTTGAAATTTTACTGTAAATTTTTTGTTTTGGAATTTAGATTTACTGAATGATGACACATATCAGGTGTCGAAACGTTTAAATTAAAAAAATATATATAAATGTATATATATATAAATATATATATATATATATATATATATATATAATGTCCAGATAATAAAAAAAATTAAATTGTATTGAAAATTTCTTAATAGACTTTCATACGTTTCGAGTCCCAATTAGACTCTTCTTTAGTGATTAAAACTACAAATAATAATATAGTAGTATCTGCTAAATAATAATTTTTTATAATGAAAATTATCGACAAATTATCATAAATGCTAATTTTTTATACAAAATATAAACAAAATAAAACGAATTAAAATATATAAAATTTGTCACAATATTACATTTGATGAAAAAGAATTATAAGAAATATTTTTGTTGACAATGTTTATTATAAAAAATGATATTTAGTACATTAGCCGGTATTTTATGTCATTTGTAGTTTTGTGAAGTGCCAAATTGGGACTCGAAACGTGTATAAAAGTCTATTATTTTTTTAAAGTCATTTCTGTAAATTCTCGGTTTAGTGTTAAAAATAAATGTGGAATATAAAAGCAAATGCAAAATGCGAAAATGTATTTGCAATTTAAAAAAAATTCAATCAAATTTAGTAGAAAACTTTTTCAATCTTAGAAAAAAATCGACTTAAATTAAATACGTATGTAGATTCTGGACTTGAAATGATTTTTTTTTGAAAAAAGTCAGATGGATGGCTTGTTGTAACAAACTTCTACATTTTATGTCCACAAATCGAACTACAAATAATAAATAAATCTACTAAATCATTTACAATGTGATTTTCACAATCACAGTCAATTATTCTACTACTCATCAATTGTTCGCTTTTAAAACACATTAGGAATTTCCTTAACCTTTCAAATAAAAATAAAATAAATAAATGAATTTATTAATTAATTACTAAAAGCACACTCGTAGTAGGATTATAATATTTCATTAATTTGAATTCGAAATTGAACAAATGAAATAATGATTAGTGAAATATTGTTGTTATGTCAAGGTAATTCGAATCTCAGGTCTCATTTAGCAAGTAGGATGATATATTATATTGATTATTGATGATGATACATTTTTATATACATATATAAAACTTATATATTTGCATTCATCGAGAGATTTTATTGCCATTTGAGGGGAATTGTATCTCTGGGTAAAACTAGTTTTTTGTGGATGTTTTTGTACTAATTTTGCGTGACGTTTTTTCTGCAAGAATTTAACTTTTGATAGTATTTTCTTTTTTGTATGATATAATTATTACTGAATTTTACACAATTTATAATAGGTTGTCAAATATCTCCCTTCCGCCTTTTTGTATTATAAACCAAGAGCAAAAAAGCGGAAGGGAGATATTTGACAACCTAATATATATATATTTTTAATGCATCGGGTCAATCGTGAAGATTTATAGTTTTGTATTAATATTTTGTTCATCTTTATTTCAAATCCAAACCAAGACCAAAATTTTTTAGTAAAGAGTGTTTGTATTAAATAACTAAATATAATTTACTTTTACTTTGCTTAATTTTTTTCTAAAAATACTATTCAAATTTCTGTTAAAAATTAGTTTATATCAAAAAAGTCAGATTTTGATGAACAGAATTATTTATAATTGATGTGTAAACCGATTTTGAAGCATAAATACCGGTTTTGGGTTAAAAATACCTACTTAGGGTCAAAACAAACAGGTTTCGAGTCAAGACAAACTGATTTCGGGTCAAAACTAACGATTTCAGAAGAAAATAAACCGATTTCGGCTCAAAATACCAGATTTTAAACAAAACAAACCAATATAGCGTCAAAATATCGATTTTGAGACTAAACAGATTTTTGGTCAGAGATACCGATTTTGGGATAAAACAGATTTTTGGTCGAAAATACCGATTTTGGGACAAAACAAACCGATTTCGAGGCAAAACAAACCGGGTTTAGCGTCAAAATAATGGTATTTTAGCACAAAATAACGGTTTTGGGGCAAAACAAACCGATTTTGGGATAAAACAAACCGGTTTTCGGTCAAAAATACCGATTTTGGGACAAAACAAACCAGTAGCGGGTCAAAAATACTGATTTTGGGACAAAACAAACCGATATCGGGCCCAAGAAAACTGATTTAAATATAAGACCTGATTCCGAGATAAAAGGATTTCATTCCAGGATAAAAAACTTTATTCCGGGAGTATAGGTTCTAATTTTGGGACTTTAAAACTGATTCCGTTAAATACAAAATTAATTCCGGAACTCAAAATGTGAATTTCGGGCTCAAAATGCAATTCCGGGCTCAAATTGCAATTCCGGGACTCAAAATGCAATTCCGGGACTCAAAATGCAATTCCGGGACTCAAAATGCAATTCCGGGACTCAAAATGCGATTCCGGGACTCAAAATGCGATTCCGGGACTCAAAATGCGATTCCGGGACTCAAAATGCGATTCCGGGACTCAAAATGCGATTCCGGGACTCAAAATGCGATTTCGGGATTCAAAATGCAATTCCGGGACTCAAAATGCAATTCCGGGACTCAAAATGCAATTCCGGGACTAAAAATGTAGTTCCCTGACAACAAACGGGATTCAGGGATAATTTTTTTTATTCCAGATAAGAAACTTGATTCCGGGATGACAAACTAGATTCCGGGACTAATAACTTTATTGCAAAATTGAAAAATTTTCTGGGGCTAGAAACTTGACTCTGGGGCTAGAAACTTGACTCTGGGGCTAAAAACTTGACTCTGGGGCTAGAAACTTGACTCTGGGGCTAAAAACTTGACTCCGGGGCTAGAAACTTGATTCCGGGGCTCGAAACTTGATTCCGGGGCTTACAAGTTGATTCCGGAACTCAAAATTAATTCCGGGGATCAAAATTTGATACCGGGGCTAGAAACTTGATTCCGATTTTCAAAACTGGATTCCAGGGCTTGAAATTAATTCCGGAGCTCTAAACTTGATTCCGGGGCTTGCAAGTTGATTCCGGAACTCAAAATTAATTCCGGGGATCAGAATTTGATACCGGGGCTAGAAACTTGATTCCGATTTTCAAAACTGGATTCCAGGGCTTAAAATTAATTCCGGGGCTCTAAACTTGATTCCGGGGCTCTAAACTTGATTCCGGGGCCCTAAACTTGATTCCGGGGCTCTAAACTTGACTGCGTGGCTAGAAACTTGATTCCGGGGCTCTAAACTTGATTCCGGGGTGTAAAACTTGATTCCGAAGCTTAATACTTGAGTCCGGAACAAAAATCTGATTCCAGAACAAAAAAACTATATTTCAAATTACTAACTATATTTAAACCTTACTTCGAAAAAAATCTGGTTCGAAATATTTATACAAAACTAAAAATTTAGACAAAAAATTTAAAAAGTATTTGCAAATTTAATTTAATTCATGCTCGTCCAGAACGAATTTAAAAAAAGTTGTCGATGCAAAATTTTTAGTAAATATCTCCAGTAAAAATGTATTAAAACTAAAATTATTTTTACCCAGAGATATAATTTTTCTCCATATATTTATATTTAAGTACTTACCA